GGAGGCCACTGGATTTGGGAGAGTGGTGCTCAGATAGGCCACTGGGTTGGGTGAGTCTCCTCTAAGTCCTTAGCTAGTGTTGGAGCGGGGTATGAGGTCGAGGGTTATTCCCTTAACCAAGTACTCGGGAAGGTGCGTGGATCCTTGCGGATAGTCGGTGGGCGAACTCCACCATTGACTTTGTTAATGCATGCCAAGGTCGTGGTAAGCCCGTACCCAGCTGTGCTATACCTGACGGTGGATCTGGACTTCCAATTGTGTAAGTGACATCATCCGAGTAAACCCGAGTGAGGATTATATATCCTGTTTAGTTGTGACCGAGCGAGCGCATTGGGCGTGAAAACGGTTGGGGTGGTTTCGGTAGGATGTAATGTCACTTATACATCTCTGTTGTTATGGAGATCTCCTAGGTGTATGCGTGACGACGCATTAAATGATTGATATGCATTGATATCTGTCATGAGATGCATTTATTGCATGATTATTAATATAATGAAGTGTGGTGTTTGACTTCATGATTGGTGAATTGTATTTTATGCATGAGTAGTATTGGATAGAGTTTATGATGTGACTCTATGTATATGATTGAGGGTTAGATAATTGTGTAGTATAGATTATTGTTCTATATTTGTATGACTGATTTGTGAATTCTAGCTTACCCTTTTGTTTCCATGTGGTGGAACTGCGATGATCATACTTGGTATGGGAGCAGGTCAAGACTAGCTTGGAGTCGAGATGTCCGCTACGAGACGGGGAGTTTTGATCCTCGTGTTAGAGTTACCATTTTAGGTAACGGGTTTGACTGTGCTTGACCGGCACTAGGGAATATTACTTAAGGGATGACTGTACATATATGGCGTTTTGATTTGTATTTAAGAAATTTAGTTATTTTATTCTTATCTATACCTGTATGTATGAGTTATCCAACTTAATATTTCTCCTAGTTCACTAGTAGTAGTGTGATTCCACTAAGTGTAGAGACCATGGCAGGTCGTTACACATCTAGAACAGCCCGTTCTCCATTCAGAACGGCCCGTTCTGGGTTTTGGAACGACCCGTTCTCAACTACGATTTATAGGTCAATTTAGTAGTTTGGAAGGACCCGTTCCAGTTAGGGAACGACCCGTTCTGGGCTACTAAATCACCCATACTTTAAGGAGCTTGCCATCAAAAGGATGAAAATGGTAAATACAGTTGGCAATGAGTTCTACTGCAGCAATATAGGTTTGTCTTCTTTTCAGGCATTTCCATTGTTAGAGAGTCTCCAATTTGAAGACATGCCAGAGTGGGAGGAGTGGTTACCATTTGAAGGGGAAGGTAGCAACTTTTGTTTTCCTTGTCTTAAGAGTTTGACATTATCCAAGTGCCCTAATTTGAGAGGAAACTTGCCCACCTCTCTACCTTCATTAACAAAGATTAGTATCTCAGAGTGCAAGCTGCTACAAGCAAAATCATCTGATCTGCAATGGAACTCATCAGTTGAAGTAATACATATTAGTGAAGGGGGAGAAGACCTGTTGTCTTTGCTTGACAAATATTCTCCGTTAAAACTATCAATTGAAAATTGTGGCAGCTTTCAATCTTTGCCAGGAATGATGCTCGGTGCCAATTGTCTTCAAAGGTTGACTCTTACAAATATCCGTTCTTTGATTTCCTTCCCAACACATGGTTTGTCCACGTCATTGCAATCACTTAGAATCTCAGACTGTGGGAACTTAGAATTTCTATCTCATGAAACGTGGCACAAATACACATCACTTGGTGAGCTGATAATTCGGAATAGCTGTCATTCCATGAAATCCTTTCCATTGGATTGTTTCCCATCCCTTCAATGGATTGATATATGGAATTGTCCCAACTTGGAAGCAATTACTACTCAAGGTGGATGGGTTGCTCTCAAATTAACAAATTTTTATATCAATGAATGTGAGAAACTTTCGTCACTGCCAGAACAGATTGTTCTCCCTGTCCTTAAACACTCCTACCTTAAAGGGCTTCCTCAGCTATTATCGATTTCCCCAAGTTGTTTGCCTTCCAGTTTAGAATCACTTGTTGTTGATATTGGAATTTTATCATCAATATCTAAACATGAGTTAGGTTCGCTATTCCAATGCCTTACTTCTCTGTCACGTCTTGACTTTGTGGGTTTGCGGGGGGAAGATCTGCTCAACACCTTGTTGAAGGAGCGGTTACTGCCCACTTCTCTCCAGGATCTGATGCTGTGGTCTTTTGATGATTTAAAGTTATTGGAAGGAAAAGGGCTTCAACATCTCACTTCTCTCCGGGAGCTTCACTTCTGGAATTGTGGAAGCCTTGAGTCCTTGCCAGAAGATCAATTGCCACCCTCTCTAGAATTACTGGAGATTGATTCCTGTCCTTTACTAGAAGCAAGGTATCAAAGTCAGAAAGGGAAATATTGGTCTAAGATTGCTCACATTCCGGCAATCAAAATAAATGGTGAAGTGATAATATAAAATGTTTCATGAGTATGAACTGTTGAAAGGTAAATGCTTCATTTTTTTTGGGAAACTCCGGTGTTAATGTTATTACGTATATAAATAACAGTTATTATATTTGGACGTTCCATAATCTTATATACTCCATTAACTGTTATTATTTATTTTTATATATCCTTTTATTATTATTGCATTATGTCACCTATGTCATTTATATTTTTCTCTTTTTTTTTTCAGACGACTTCATCGAAGAGGCCGGGGCCACTGATGCTGGAGAAGGATGGTGCTGCAGTGAAGATTAAGATTGTCAAGGAAGTGAGGGCCCTCACTGACTTGGGGCTGAAGGAAGCGAAGGACTTGGTGGAGAAGGCTCCCTGTGTTTTGAAGAAGGAGCTCACCAAGGAGTTGGGTGCTGCTGTTGTGTTAGAGTGATTCTGAATTTCACTTTGGTGTTCTCAATTTTTTGTTAGTTGTAAAATCATTGGAACTTGTTTATGGGTGATGAGACTATGTCAATTCAATGAAGTGCTAGAGAAGTGCATCTTTCTCAACATGTTAAGCAGCTAAAATTTCTGCCACACAAATTTGTTCTTAGTATTGATTTTCTATACTATCAACTCATTGTTTCAGAAATAAAAGTTCTGTTTTCTATATGAGATGGTTTGGGACTAGTTAGAGTAGAAAAATATTCTGCTAAAATGTATCTTCTGGAGCATGAAACTTTAATTTGTTACCTTATATGTTCAACACGTTGCTATATTTCTAATTTTGCAGCTAAAGTCTACCCAAACATTTATAGTTTTTTTAATATGAACTACTGTCTGAAATTCAGAATAAAAACCTGAAGTTTGATGAGAATGCTATAGAATCAGTGTTTGAAGGAAAAGGCTTCAGTTTGTAGTAGGAAAGTTACGAATTTGGATGATATTTTTTTTTTTTATTGTAACTTATGGTTAGGACTGTGCATCTTGTCAGTTAACTACTTTGCCAATCTAGATGACTAGATGCTTGTCTCTAATTTCAATTGAGATATCCACCAGTACATTTAGCTCGGTAGTGTAGAAGAGAGGTAAAGAGTTAACTTCGGTAGAAAACATATAAGGTGAAACATAAGGCTGCATCTGAAATGAGAATTAATTTTTAAACTAGATATTAGTTTGTGCTATGTACGGATTGATAAATCAATAGATACAATATTTTTAATTTTGATTTTTCATTTTAATTTTTATATTCTTTTGTGTAAAAAATAAAATAGATTGAGTTTATAATTGTATAATACATTCTAATATATATGTAAAATTTTATAGAATAATCAGTTTAATATGAGCAGGTAACAAAAGATACGTATTGAATTGACAGTTATATATATGAATGTTATTTTTAAAATATAATGATGACATTAATTGACATTTGAATTTTAAATGAAATAATTAAATGGCACTAAATTTACAAAATGCTTATTTTGTATTATAAAATTATTTGTCATATCAATAGGATAAAAAATATATTGGATGAATTTTATATGTATTGAAAATAATTTTACAATACATGATTAAAAAAACAATATACTAGTAATGTACTATTAAAAACAAAATTTTCTCATGTCTAATGATAAAATTACATAGCATTAAATTACATTATTTGAAGAATTAATTTAAATCTAAGTTTATTAATAAATTGTGTATTTTCTTTTACTGGATATAGATTATATATTAGTCTTTTAACTTTAGATAATATTATAAAATTAAAAATTAAAAATATAAGTTTATCTTATTTCAAATTACGTGGTTATTTCTCAACGCATCTCATTTTAAACATAAACAATTTATTTTCATTTTTTATTCAAACACATGACTTGTATTAAATCAATAAAGCATATACTAAATATTTATTTCTTTAGAAAATTACCCTAATAAAATTTTAAAACATGTAGATAATTAGTAACTGATAATTATAAAAATACATTTAATTGTTATAATTGATAATCAATAACATATGCTTATAAATTACATTTAATTATCAGTTAAATATTAATATTTTATTTTGTAATTAAAAATTTATTTCAATTGGTGTTAAGAAAATATGGCACTATTCTTTTAATAATGGTTTTTATTTATATGTTTTGACTATTCATCCCTGTTTCACTACTTCATATTGTTGTATATTCATTGGTGATAAAATTCTTTTTATATAATAATTCCTGCAACATGAACATTCTTATATAAAACAAAGTTGATTGTTTAAACAGGACAAAAAATTCTCAATAAAATTAAGAAAGAAATCTCATAATGATTCACATGGACGGGTCTACGCTTATATATGTGGGGCAGCTGCCCCACTAACTTTTCAACTTCTTTTATTTTAGTATCATTTATCATTTGTATTATTTTTGTACTTAAATAAAATATTGCCTCCACTCATTTTTTTTCTTAAAAATAGTATTTTAATATTATAAAAAAAATATTTTATAACTCCTGTCCACCCATAATCCCTTATCAGTTTTCATATTGAGAATTGTTATGTGAATCAAAATAAAAGATTATTATCCATATAAGAAAAATAATTTCTTTGTTAATTTTCATTCCTTCTTTCTTCAGAAGTTCATTATCAAGTAGTATATTTAAAGTTATAATTTTTATATTATTCATTTTATTTTTATTTTAATAGGAAATTAAGTATTTTTATTTATTCATTTTATTTTTATGGTTTAAAAATATTGTATTTTATGAAAATTATGTTAATTATATTGGTTATGATATTTATCACAGAGTGTGGTTGCACTTTCCGGGATGACTGATGCAGAAGGCAATCATATATTGTTTTGTTCATGCAAAGACAATTCAGTTCCCTTGCATGAACTGTCGTCGTAAGTAAACTTGAATTGATTTTCTGTTCCTGTGTAACATTTATTTCTGTCACCCAGCTTTAACCATGTGTAATTTCACAGATTTTCAGAGAGGGGTCATTTATTTGAAATTTTTACTTAAATAATATTTTTCTAAAAAAAATTACAAAAGTATCAACTGTGCAGGTTTATTTACTAATATAGAACTGTTTACTGTGCATGCTCAGAATTCGGTTCCCGGGGAACTGAATTCTGAGATTCAAAATCTTATTTTTTTTTGTTTTTTCTTCTCAGAATTCGGTTCCCGGGGAACCGAATTCTAAGTTGTTTTAAATTTTTTTTTCGGGTTTGTGGGCAAATCTAGACAAATTTTGGAAGTGGAACGGCCCGTTCCGAAAGCAGTACGGGTCGTTCTGCTTAAACACAGAGAGTATTTTTTTTAAATTAAAATGGGCCAAGAACGGGCCGTTCCAGGATTAAGTTTTAACGAAAAAATTGACCCCTGAAACGGCCCATTTGAAAGAATTATTGTAGTTATTTTTTTTAACCTGGAACGGGCCGTTCTTGTTTTGTTCCAAAATAAAAATTTTAGCATTTTTTTGAATCTGGAACGGTCTTGGAACGGCCCGTTCCAGGAGCTGTTTTAACGAATTAGAAACTGGTTTGGAACGGGTCGTTCTGGTTTTGGAATGGCCCGTTCTGGGCAAACAGTGAAAACCAGCGTTTTCCTATAAATAGGCCCTCTCCCCTTCATTATTTGCACATGATTTTAGCTCAGTTTCACTCCTTTATTCCTTCCCTGTACTGCTTCTGAATCACTTTCATAGTAAGAAATTGTTTGTTTGGTTCAATTTTCATTAAACAAATATCAAAAATGTTATTGTAGAAGCAAAATAAGCATAGGTCTACCTTTATTGGTAGAACGGTAAGTTTAGCACTTTCGTTATTTACTTTAAATTTCAATGAACTTGTAACAAATTAGTACTAATTTTGGTAATTATTGCAGGAGACTGAGAATATTATTTGTTCTTACTGTCATTCAATGCTAGAACCCCACCCTCTAATTGTTCCTATACTAGAGGAAGTTGGTTTTTCTGGGGTTGCAAACCTCAGACATCTGAAAGTGGATCACGCATTAATCACAGCTTTGGTTGAAAGATGGAGGCCTGAGACTCATACCTTCCATTTTCCAACTGGAGAGTGCACCATAACACTAGAGGATGTTGCACTTCAACTTGGGCTAAGAGTTGATGGTTTACCAGTCATTGACCCAACATTATATGACTGGGAGGAAATGTGCTCCACGTATCTCGGAATCATGCCAGTTAAAAGTGAGTCACTAATTGGCTCTATGATTAAGTTAAAGTGGTTAAGAGAAAATATGTTAGAATTACCAGAAGAATCATCTGAAGAACAAATTCATGCATATTGTAGAGCATATATATTAGGTTTAATAGGAGGTGTTTTGATGCCTGAAAAAATAGGCAATAAGGTACATCTTATGTATTTATCTTTATTAATAAATCTTAGAAGAGCAAGACGATATAGTTGGGGGTCGGCTTGTTTGGCTATGTTATATAGAGAAATGTGTAGAGCTACAAATGTTAGTAGCAAAACAATGGGTGGTTGTGCATCTTTGTTACAATCTTGGGCATGGCATCACATGCCATATATTGAGCCTATTTTCAGGATACCATCAACATTCCCTCTAGTCTGTAAATGGAGCGGAGGAAAAGTTTTTAACTTTCAAAATGTACCTCATAATGATGTTGTTGGAAATAGATCAAGGTTTGATCACATTCAAAATGATCAAATCGTTAAGGAAGTGAGGGCTTTCACTGACTTGGGGCTGAAGGAGGAGGTTAAGCCCATCATGGAGAAGCTTAAGGAGTTGGGTGCTGCTGTTGTGTTGGATTGATTCTCAATTTCACTTTGGTGTTCTCAATTTAGTTATAGTATCATTGAAACTTGTTTAGGGGTGATGAATGATAATGATAAATTATAAGTTATATGTCTTACCCCCTTCCCTCTTTTTATGTTTTGTTGATGGATTGATAGTTTTTGTTTCGTGACATTCTATATTTTAATTGAAGTTTGACACTGGTTAAAATTGTGTTTCGGCATTGGGGAGGTGTGTGGTTCATCTTTGTGTAGTTGGATTAAGTGTATTACTGGGCTTCTTCTCAATCTTGGTTTATTGTTTTATTTCTTTTGACTTTAGCTTGAATGATTGATGAATATGTCACGAAGGGCTTCGACAGTTGGTGAGTGAAGTCAGATATTTGAAGAAATACGCAATCTCTGTTTAGATTTTAGTGATCATTTTAGCTGAAATTTGGAGTATTGAGCATTGCCATATGTTGCAGAGAGCAATTTTTAATTAATTAAGAAAAAAGAAAACATAAAGTATATAAATGATCAAAAGATGAACTGAGTTTTAAAATATCTGTTTATACTTATTATAGAGAAGACCATCATCATGTCCCTTAAAATTGTGAGCATAAATGAGATAATTCCTAGTCTTATATTCTTTCACTCCCAATTCGTATCCATTTCCCCCTAATTTCTTAATGACTCTGTCTTTGATAACCTAATATTAAACCTTTTTATGGTAAATTTTGTATCGTAAACTTTTAGCAGGTGGAAAAGGGGATGCATTTGATGCTTTAGAATATGGTAATATTGATTTCTCGTGTATGCATGGAACTAAGAATATCTGCCCTACAAATTTGTTCTTAGTATTGATTTTCTATATATATATATATATATATATATATTATTTTATTAAAAAGTTTAAGTGAATTGTATTAAATGACTCACTGTGATCCGAACAAATCTTAAAATTTTATATATTGTTCACCGACAGAGTCTTCGCATCAATAAATTGAACCGTAACGAATTTTTGTTAGACAAGATTTATATTAGGAAAATGATTCGGATTCCGAAATCCTGTTCCGAATTCATTCCGAATTATTAAATTAATAATTTAAATTATAAAATATTAAATTAAATAATTATTTTATAATAAATTTATTGAAAAATATTAATATTTTAAAATTTCGAATCATAATTCGGACAACTGATTCGAAAGCTTTAGCATAACTCTTTATATTATATACTTGGTATATTTTAAAATTATAGAATGCTAACAGTATACGGATGCAGCACGTCAGCATGGGACCTACTCATTATATTTATTTTTATATATCTTTTTATTATTATTGCATTATGTCACCTACTCATTTATATTTTTCTCTTTTTTTCAGACGACTTCATCGAAGAGGCCGGGGCCACTGAAGCTGGAGAAGTATGATGCTGCTGTGAAGATCAAGATCGTTAAGGAAGTGAGGGCTTTCACTGACTTGGGGCTGAAGGAGGAGGTTAAGCCCATCATGGAGAAGCTTAAGGAGTTGGGTGCTGCTGTTGTGTTGGATTGATTCTCAATTTCACTTTGGTGTTCTCAATTTAGTTATAGTATCATTGAAACTTGTTTAGGGGTGATGAATGATAATGATAAATTATAAGTTATATGTCTTACCCCCTTCCCTCTTTTTATGTTTTGTTGATGGATTGATAGTTTTTGTTTCGTGACATTCTATATTTTAATTGAAGTTTGACACTGGTTAAAATTGTGTTTCGGCATTGGGGAGGTGTGTGGTTCATGCTAGTGTCCATTTTTCCCTAGGAATGTTGTTTAACCATTGAGTTGCTTCAACATTACTATCTCTTACTATGTTGTAATAGTAAAAGAATCTAGGTTCAATCATCCCGTAGGCTGCAAAAAAAATAAATTATTAAATAATGAAAAGTAATAATCAAATTCTTTTAAAAAAGTAATGATAAACTTACCCATATTGACGACATCCTTCTTCAGTGTTTCATTTTTGAATCGTCGCATGAAATTTTGTGCAATATGTCGAATACAATAGACATGGACAGAATTATTTTCCGTCCAGCCACTTCCATTTCTTGAGTATGCACTTCGAATAGCTTCATAACGATCAAAAATAAGGAACAACCCATCTTGCGGTGTTACATACCACCTTAAGTTCTTAAGAAAAAAAAATCATGCATCGCTAGTTTCACCTTCAACAACAGCAAATGCAATAGGAATTATGTTGTTGCGACCATCTTGCGCAATTGCGACCAATAGCGTACCTTTGTATCTCCCGTATAAAAAGGTCCATCCACTTGTACAATTGGTTTGCAGAAGGCAAAACCATCAATGCATGTTTAAAGGTCCAAAATAACCTTTTAAATATAACACTCCCCTCATCCAATAAGCCACCTTGGTAACAAGCCTACTACTGATTGAGTGTTTAACCTTGTAAGTGCAATGGTTGACAATGTGAAATCTATTTATGGCGTCCTGCATTTGTTCTTTTGTTTGGAAGCGTTGGCCAACAAATAGTGTTCCAGGTGGATACACAACCATATCACGCTCCAACAAATGGCTATACTCAGTGTCTTGTTGGATTTCATTGGGAAACTCTAAAAAGTGTGGAGGTGGGTTGTATATGGCTACTGGTTGTAGTGGTGGATTATTTGGAATTGGGAGGGTTTCTTCATCATCATCTTCATGTGCAGAGAGAATTTCGTCTTCGTCCTCGCTAAAAGGATCAAAGACATTTTTTGTTGGGAGACCAACAACAACATGATCTTCAATGTTGGTTTCAACATTGGGTTGAGAAGCAGAAGGTCTAGCTTGCTCAAATGGCTGAGAAGGTATTTGATTAAGGTCCATGATTGGACCAGTTAAAAGCTGTGTGTATGACTCAATGTCGTAGTTGGAGGGGATATCATAAGAAGGGCCAGATGGGTTAGTGTTCTGGTAACTTTGATAAATTTCGTAAGGTGAACGTGAAGGTGAAACTTGTGGTGCATGTGATTCAACTGTAGTGAATGTAGCATACAATTCAATACCTGATTGAAGTTGATTAGAATCGTGAACATTGAAAAGTGCCTCAACGTCTTCATCATCCGTCAACTCAACACAGGTATAGTTACTAACCCCTGGGCCAAGTCTAATAGGTACCGAAAATGTATGCTAGCCACCCTCTCAGAATCTTGTCGATGTAGCTTTGTGTGGATGACTCTTTGAAGCCTTTCTAGAGTAATTCCTCTCTTGATACGAACTAATTTTGCAGATGGAGAGGAAAAGGTGATTCCTTCATTCGGACATTGGTTAAGGGAACCATCAGAATGAACAATAACGTAAATTGAAGAAGCCATTTTATGAAAGATTTAAAGGAAATGAACGTGATTCTAAGAAAGTGATTCAAAAGGGTTAGACGTAAGGAATAAAGGAGAGAAGGTAAGCTGAAATTGTGTGGAAATAATGAAGGGTAGAGGGCCTATTTATAGGAAAACGCTGGTTTTCACTGTTTGCCCAAAACGGCCCGTTCCAAACCAGTTTCTAATTCGTTAAAACAGCTCCTGGAACGGGCCGTTCCAGATTCAAAAAAATGCTAAAATTTTTATTTTGGAACGGGCTGTTCTAAAACAAGAACGGCCAGTTCCAGGTTAAAAAAATAACTACAATAATTCTTTCAAACGGGCCGTTTCAGGGGTCAATTTTTCCGTTAAAACTTAATCTTGGAACGGCCCGTTCTTGGCCCGTTTTAATTTTAAAAAAATACTCTCTGTGTTTAAGCAGAACGGCCCATACTGTTTTCGGAACGGGCCGTTCCACTTCCAAAATTTGCCTAGATTTACCCACAAACCCGGAAAAAAAAAATATTAAAACAGCTCAGAATTCGGTTCCCCGGGAACTGAATTTTGAGAAGAAAAAACAAAAAAAAATAAGATTTTGAGGCTCAGAATTCGGTTTCCCAGGAACCGAATTCTGAGCATGCACAGTAAACAGTTCTATATTGGTAAATAAACCTGCACAGTTGATACTTTTGTAATTTTTTTTAAAAAAATATTATTTAAGTAAAAATTTCTCATTTATTTACTAAGAAAGAGATTGCAACTTTTGAGTTAGGTCTTGGTGGACGCTTTTTCACCGGAGACAGGACTGGTTTGCTGACAGTATGGAAATGGTTGGATGTCAAGGTGACATCCTCAGTTCAACATCCTGCTTAGCTTAGCAGTTTAGCACTTTAGCTAACATATCAGAGATTGAAGATACTATATATATTTTACACATTCTTGTTTCAATAGAAAGTTGTATGGAAGAATAAAACTGTTTACATATTCGTTTTTGGCCATTTGAGGTTATAAAATGTGAATGTTAATTATTAGCATGTGTTTTGTATCATATATATTTAGCCGTTACTGTGTACAGGTAGAATTCTTTGATGTATTATATAGCATAGCTTATTTTAGAAACTGATCAGTCCCCTCAACTCCCTGTTTCCTTTTCAATAATTCTTTTATTGCACTTACCTTCTTAGAAATCCATGCATTACTCTTTTATGATCTTCTTCATTTCTGTTTTCTTTATTTTTGGACATAATTGAGAAATGAAATATGTGAAATGCTACTTAATTTTATATCAGTAATTTTGCAGAGGTCTCAAAATAGTCTCTTCTTTGTGGGGAGTGTAATATCAGCTGTCTTGGACTATTTGAATCGTTGATTGATTGATTAATTATGTTTAGCAAAATTATTTACAATCAGTCACAATAGGCTTTGAAGTTTTCAGGATAATTCTGTTCGACTTCGATCAAAGATTCATCGCCGTTCAACAAATTAATATACATAAAGAATTGAGGTAAAATTATTATGCATCAACAATAATTACGAGATAATATTATATATGATTAATAGTTTTTGCAAACGGGAAAGGTAAGAATTAATATGAACATGGAGTAAAAAATTATCACCCAAACAACTAAATTTATTGTGCTTGTTTTTTCCTTCCAAACTCTTGCATAGACATTGTAGAATGAATGCCTATTTTCCTTTATATTTCTAAACATTCTCCACCAAGATTATCATGTATGGTTAAGTCCTCTACCTCTTCCATCTTCATTTTCATTATTTGAGCCTCCAACTCCAATTGGTCTGGCCTATGGGGTTGCATTTGCCATATTTATGATAAAATCATATTAATTATCTATGGAGACTTTATACTTTTTAATTTAATGACAATTGTTAATCCTTAGAAAAAATTAGGCAATATCTGAGAAGAAGAAAAAAATAGGATATTCTTCAATTATAATTAAAATTTCATTCCCATATTTTTTTTTGATAATGTGTATTGTTGACATTTGACAACCACGTCATTTATATTATATTCTGCTGCATTTGAGCAACACTATATTCTTCGGCCAAACTGAAAAGCTGTTAAAATGTCACAGTTTTGAGGTAATGTTCTGTGATTTTCTTCTCTTTAATATTATTTTTGGTGGAATGAAAATTTATTTAAAATTCTATCCTTTTCTGTGGTTTTTGGTTAAAGGGTGTTGGTTCATTTTGCAAAGTTGAAGTCTTTGTAGCTGGTACTGAAGATTTATTGGAAACATGACACTGTTTGTGTTTTGACTGGCTTGCGTTTAATTAAGTTTTGGGTGAAATTAATCGGTTGAGTTTTGCATGAAATAGATATCTCTATTGTAGCCATGAAATTGTGTTGCGTGCCAATTAGAAGACTGATAAGGAACTTGTTCTAGGTAATTGCGGGTCACATCTATGCTTCGGACATTTTGAATATTAAGATGCTAGGAGAAATTTAGTTGTATGTTTGAAATTCCTATAGGGAAGGGGGAGTTTAATTTTCTTTCTTCTTTTTCTTTTAGATTGTGAACCTTAGAGCTGCTTGTGGTTTACTTCCTCCTTGTCTTATTGATGACAGAAATCATGTTTTGTGTTATTATGACAATAGAGTTCTTTTTAATTTGCACTAAATTTATGTTCCATAGTATTTCCAGACTATGGATTTTGATCTGTTATGTGATTAGGAGTCTCGATCTTATGTTATTTTGAAATATTGTGCTGATGTTGAAATTCCTATAAGATATTTGGCTAAATCATGATTACTAATTTCACATTTAAAGCAGTGGTCATGGAATTTTTATTCAGCCTGAAATATATGTATTCTCTACATGAGTAATAGCATGTGCTGCCTACCATGTTTTTGTTAACTACAGTTCCAGGTTATTACTGTGTCAGGATCACATTCAGCATTGTGCTCATTTTATTATGACTACTGAATTGAAGTTTTATTTTGTTAAAATTAAATGAAGTCATGGGCATGGGATTTTTGTTAGGAACACAAGCTGCTAAGAAAGAAAAACTGCTTTTGATGACCCAGGGTAGTCATTAATTAAACTTGGTGTTTTTCTATCTTTTAAGACTTTGAACTCTTGGTTTATGCCAAACTTCAAAATTGAAAATTCCATGTTCCACTAGTATGAATTGTTACCATATGGTGCTATACAGCCATTGATAGGCTACAGTAAACTGAAAATATATTTATAAATATATATATATATATATATATATAGGAGAGATTTACTGCTTATTTTAAGAGTAAATTTACTTAAAGTTATTTCACTTAATAATTCATTTTTTTTTATCAAATTTTAAACATTCAATTGTTAAATTAAATTTTTTTAATATATAGTTAAATTTAAAAATAATTTGATACTTTATTTCATAAATTCAAATCAACATATGAAATATTTTTTATTATTTGTCAATTTAAAATAATAAAACAAAATTTAAATACTCCCCCATTCCTATATATAAGAAACATAGGACGAAAATCACATAGATTAAGAAAATGTCATTTGAGCTGTTAATCGTAATTAATATATCTTAAATTTAATTTTATTACCAAAATACTCATACAATTAAATGTTTCAATGATACTGATATGAAAAATTGGTCAGTGTTTCTTTCTTAATTATATATTGGGGATATAAAAAAAAATCTATTAATTAATACAAATAAAAATATGACTATGTTGCTTACATTTAAGAATAAAAAAAATTACAGTTTTGTTTCTTATATATAAGAACGGAGATGGTAATTTTTAAATTTATTTTTAAAATTATAGATTTAAAGTATATATTAAAAAATTTAATTCAATAATTGAATTGTTGTTAGAATAAGTAAATCTTTTTTCTTTTATATATATATATATATATATATATATATATTATTTTATTAAAAAGTGTAAGTGAATTATATTAAACGACTCACGGTGATCCGAACAAGTCTTAAAATTTTATATATTGTTCACTGATAGAGTCTTCGCATCAGTAAATCCAACTGTAACTAATTTTTGTTAGCTAAGATTTATATTATATATATACTTGGTATATTTTAAAATTATACAATGCTAACAGTATACGGATGCAGCACGCCAGCACGGGACACAAGTTGACTTGACTTAAAGCATTATAATACAACAACCCCTCACTTGCACAAGTATGTATGTATCAATTTCATCATTTAGTTAAAGCTCCAATTTAACTCAAAAGTGTTAGCAGCCACCATAGGTTGATGGATGTTATTAGTTAGCTCGATGTTTGGGAGGGACCATTCCTCCAAATGACGTTCACCTACCATAATTGTTTCTTCCACGTACACTTCTTCTTCTGCAGCTAGTATGACCTAGAACTCTCTTTCTTTGGCGAGTATGGTTGCGTTCCGTGTGTTAACCTATGAGCTATTTTTTCAATTTCAAAATTTTAATGCAAAAGAGGTCTCTTTTATCACGTTAGAATACACCGTAAAGAAACATGATTAGTTGACAACAAAAACCAAGAAAATTAAATTAAATCAAAATAAATAAATAAAAATAACGAGCCGTTCTCATTTTAAAAAACCTGGAACGGCCCGTTCTGGTTTTGAACGGCCCATTCCAAATTAATTTTTTTTGCAACCCAGACTTTTTAGATCGGTTATTTAACCGATTTTAAAAGTCTAACTTTCAAAATCGGATTTTTTAAAATCGGTTACGAAACCGATTTTAAAAGTTGAAAATAACCGATTTTAAAAGCCTTTTTTCCACTAGTGATTGTATATTGTTATTCTACTTCTCTTAGATGATCAAACTTCTTTATATAGGTGACTTTTGAAGATAACTATAGCAAATCCTTGAGTCACACTTGCTAACTTGCTTTATCTTACTTCATCTTGCTTCTTTGTAAAACTAGGAGTTAGTGGTGTAATAAATGTTTGCATTAAATGTGTTTACCAAATGACCACTTCTTATATGATTAAGGAGATTACTTATTATTTTTAGGGTACAAAAGGAAAGGAATTAATTATTCTATGTGTTAGTCGAGAACGACTTTTAACTGACTTTTTATACTTCAAGATATTTGTTTTTTTTTCGACGAAAAGCAAATTCTTGTTTCTTTCGAGCCGTTCTCATTTTAAAAAACCTGGAACGGCCCGTTCTGGTTTTGAACGGCCCATTCCAAATTAATTTTTTTTGCAACCCAGACTTTTTAGATCGGTTATTTAACCGATTTTAAAAGTCTAACTTTCAAAATCGGATTTTTTAAAATCGGTTACGAAACCGATTTTAAAAGTTGAAAATAACCGATTTTAAAAGCCTTTTTTCCACTAGTGATTGTATATTGTTATTCTACTTCTCTTAGATGATCAAACTTCTTTATATAGGTGACTTTTGAAGATAACTATAGCAAATCCTTGAGTCACACTTGCTAACTTGCTTTATCTTACTTCATCTTGCTTCTTTGTAAAACTAGGAGTTAGTGGTGTAATAAATGTTTGCATTAAATGTGTTTACCAAATGACCACTTCTTATATGATTAAGGAGATTACTTATTATTTTTAGGGTACAAAAGGAAAGGAATTAATTATTCTATGTGTTAGTCGAGAACGACTTTTAACTGACTTTTTATACTTCAAGATATTTGTTTTTTTTTCGACGAAAAGCAAATTCTTGTTCGAGCCGTTCTCATTTTAAAAAACCTGGAACGGCCCGTTCTGGTTTTGAACGGCCCATTCCAAATTAATTTTTTTTGCAACCCAGACTTTTTAGATCGGTTATTTAACCGATTTTAAAAGTCTAACTTTCAAAATCGGATTTTTTAAAATCGGTTACGAAACCGATTTTAAAAGTTGAAAATAACCGATTTTAAAAGCCTTTTTTCCACTAGTGATTGTATATTGTTATTCTACTTCTCTTAGATGATCAAACTTCTTTATATAGGTGACTTTTGAATGAATTCTTATCTAGATCCTTAATTGACAAAGAGAAAGCTGTAGTTGGAGAAAATTTTCGAATGCATGACCTCATTTATGATTTAGCTAAACTAGTATCTGGAAAAAGTTCATGCTACTTTGAATGTGGTAAGTTCCCGGGAAGTGTTCGCCATTTAACATTTCTTGCCAGGGAGTTTGATGTATCTAGGAGATTTGAGGGCTTGTATGAGCTAAAATGTTTGCGGACCTTTCTACAGCGACGCCAATATTCATTTGAATCATGTTACTTAGCAAAAGTAGTATCATGTGATTGGTTGCCAAAACTAAGATGCTTGCGAACACTCTCATTGTCTGAATACAAAAATATCACTGAGCTGCCCAATTCAATTGGTAATCTGGTGCTTCTAAGGTATCTAGACCTTTCCTATACTTACATCAAAATGTTGCCTAATGCAACCTTTGTGCTTTACAATCTGCAGACTTTGAAATTATCCAATTGTAAATTTCTAATTCAGCTGCCAGAACAATTAGGAAATTTGGTCAATTTACGTCACTTGGATATCAGTGACACATATTTGGAGTTGCCGACACAAATATGCAATCTACAAAGTCTCCGTACATTGACTTATTTTGTAGTAGGCAAACAAAATGGACTAAGCATCACGAAATTAAGAAGATTTCCCCATTTGCAGGGTAAGCTTTCCATTTTGGAACTACAAAATGTTGACCATCCCATGGAGGCATTTCAAGCCAACCTGAAGAAAAAAGAGCAGATTGAGGAGCTTACGTTGGAATGGGGTAGTGATCCACAGGATTCACAAATTGCCAAAGATGTACTTGACAATCTGCAACCGTCAACAAATTTAAAGGAACTCAACATCAGATCCTATGGCGGCACAAGCTTTCCAAAATGGCTGGGTGATTCTTCATATTCTAATGTTATAGTCCTTGGTATTACTGATTGCAACTATTGCTTGTCACTTCCCCCATTTGGACAATTACCTTCTCTTAAGGAGCTTGCCATCAAAAGGATGAAAATGGTAAATACAATTGGCAATGAGTTCTACTGCAGCAATTTAGGTTTGTCTTCTTTTCAGCCATTTCCGTTATTAGAGAGTCTCCAATTCGAAGACATGCCAGAGTGGGAGGAGTGGTTACCATTTGAAGTTGAAGGTAGCAACTTTTGTTTTCCTTGTCTTAAGAGTTTGACATTATCCAAGTGCCCTAATTTGAGAGGAAACTTGCCCAGCTCTCTACCTTCATTAACAAAGATTAGTATCTCAGAGTGCAAACTGCTAGAAACAAAAGCATGTGATCTGCAATGGAACTCATCAGTTGAAGTTATACATATTAGAGAAGGGGGAGAAGATCTGTTCTCTTTGCTTGACAAATATTCTTGGTTGGAACTATCTATTGAAAATTGTGACAGCTTTCAATCTTTGCCAAGAATGATGCTCGGTGCCAATTGTCTTCAAAGGTTGACTCTTAAAAATATCCCTTCTTTAATTTCTTTTCCAACACATGGTTTGTCCACGTCATTGCAATTACTTGAAATCAAATACTGTGGGAACTTAGAATTTCTATCTCATGAAACATGGCACAAATACACATCACTTGAAAAACTGATAATTCGGAATAGCTGTCATTCCATGAAATCCTTTCCATTGGATTGCTTCCCATCCCTTCAATGGATTCATATATTGTATTGTCCCAACTTGGAAGCAATTACTACTCAAGGTGGATGGGTTGCTCTCAAATTATTAATTTTTTGTATACGTGGTTGTGAGAAACTTTCATCACTGCCAGAACAGATTGTTCTCCCTGTCCTTAAATACTCCTACCTTAGAGGGCTTCCGCAGCTATTATCGATTCCCCCAAGTTGTTTGCCTTCCAGTTTAGAATCACTTTGGATTGGTATTGGAATTTTATCATCAATGTCTAAACATGAGTTAGGTTCGCTATTCCAATGCCTCACTTCTCTGTCAAGTCTTCGCCTTTGGGGTTTTTCGGGGGAAGATCTGCTCAATACCTTGTTGAAGGAGCGGTTACTGCCTACTTCTCTCCAGCATCTGATGCTGTGGTCTTTTGATGGTTTAAAGTTGTTGGAAGGAAAAGGGCTTCAACATCTCACTTCTCTCCGAGAGCTTCACATATGGTATTGTGGAAGCCTTGAGTCCTTGCCAGAAGATCAATTGTCACCCTCTCTAGAATTACTGGAGATTGATTCCTGTCCTTTACTAGAAGCAAGGTATCAAAGTCAGAAAGGGAAATATTGGTCTAAGATTGCTCACATTCCGGCAATCAAGATAAATGGTGAAGTGATAATATAAGATGTTATGAACTGTTGAAAAGGTAAATGCTTCATGTATTTTGGGAAACTCCGGTGTTAATGTTATTACGTATATAAATAACAGTTATTATATTTGGACGTTCCATAATCTTTGTTTTTTTTGGAGGGAACGTTCCATAATCTTATATACTCCATTAACTGTTATTATTTATTTTTATACATCTTTTTATTATTATTGCATTATGTCACCTATCTCATTTATATTTTTCTCTTTTTTTTCAGACGACTTCATCGAAGAGGCCGGGGCCACTGAAGCTGGAGAAGTATGATGCTGCTGTGAAGATCAAGATCGTCAAGGAAGTGAGGGCTTTCACTGACTTGGGGCTGAAGGAAGCGAAGGACTTGGTGGAGAAGCCTCCCTGTGTTTTGAAGAAGGGGCTCACTAAGGAGGAGGCTAAGCCCATCATGGAGAAGCTTAAGGAGTTGGGTGCTGCTGTTGTGTTGGATTGATTCTCAATTTCACTTTGATGTTCTGAATTTTGTGTTAGTTATAGAATCATTGAAACTTGTTTAGGGGTGATGAATGATAATGATAAATTATAAGTTATATGTCTTACCCCCTTCCCTCTTATTATGTTTTGTTGGTGGATTGATAGTTTTTGTTATGTGACATTCTATATTTTAATGGAAGTTTGACACCGGTAACCACTTTTAATGGGTTAAAATTGTTTCAGCATTGGGGAGGTGTGTGGTTCATCTTTGTGTAGTTGGAATAAGTGTATTACTGGGCTTATTTTCAAACTTGGTTTATTGTTTTATTTCTTTTGTCTTTAGCTTGAATGATTGATGAATATGTTATGAAGGGCTTGGACAGTTGGTGAGTGAAGTCAGAAGTGATTTGGAAAGTTGTTTTTCAAAATGACCAGATTTTGCATTGCGGAATGGTGTCTATCAGATATTTGAAGAAATACGCAGTGTCTGTTTGGGTTTAAGTGATCATTTTAGCTGAAATTTGGAGTATTGAGTAGTGTCATATGTTGCAGAAAGCAGTTTTTTAATTAATTAAGAAGAAAGAAAATATAAAGTATATAAATGATCAAAACATGAACTGAGTTTTAAAATATCTGTTTATACTTATTATAGAGGACTATCATCATGTCCCTTAAAATTGTGAGCACAAATGAGATAATTCCTAGTCTTATATTCTTTCACTCCAAATTCCTATCCATTTCCCCCTAATTTCTTAATGACTCTGTCTTTGATAACCTAATATTAAACTTTTTTATGGTAAATTTTGTATGGTAAACTTTTAGCAGGTGGAAAAGGGGATGCATTTGATGCTTTAGCACTAGCATTGAAAAACAAGGTCTTAAAATCATTTCATTGATTAATTTATTTGTTGTTTTGGAAAATGGTAATACTGATTTCTCATGTTTACCATGCTAAGGTATATGTTTCAGGCTTCTGCACTGTCACTCTTATTACAGTAGGAGGAAGAAAAACCTATTGGAGATAAATGTGAATTCAGCCCTTCAAAGAAAGACTAAAGAACTTTTAAGTAACATGCTGTGGGTAATTGTGTGTCACATCTATGCTTCAGAAATTTATGGTTGAGCCTATGTATTGCTCTGAGAAGAAAGTTGGTTGTATGTTTGCGATACCCATATGGCAGGGGGTAGTATAATTTTCTTTCTTCTTTTAACTTCATTTGTGAAGCTATGCTGACAATCCTTTTCTTCAAGACCTATAGACAATCTAAATAATGCATTTAATTGCATGTCTGAGTGCAATTTGAAATTCTGTTTCTACAATTCTTAAAATGTGGCTGAGAATAGTACCATTTATCCCATTTTAAATGATGTTCTAAGGAGATTATTTTATAGTCTTCATGACATTTAAACTTGTTTGAGTCATGCCATTTCCTTTTAAAGTTGTTCTAACTCTTTGACTCTATCAGTCTTCTTTGTGCCACCATAATTTTGGTCATGTTTGAGGCTTGAACCATATGAACACATTGCTATTGTTGTACATGATCAATTGTAATCATTTTATGTGTTGACATGATGCAGTATTAAGTAGGAAAAAGGGAGCTTTGTTGAATTTTCTGATCACTAGGATGTTTTCTTTACAATTATGTATTATTTTCTATGTTCAGTTTTGTGACGAAAATCATGCTGAGTCATGGCTTTGTGTGATGATGGCATATTGAGCAGTTCATGTTCCACCATGAACATGGCTCTCACATGCTTGTTTGTTTTATTATGGAAATTTGAAACCATGCAACAACTTTTGGTGGTCTTGGCTATAATTTTCTTTGCTTTCTTTTCTTTTAGATTTGAACCTTACAGCTGCTTGTGGTTTGCTTCTTCCTTGTCCAATTAATGACAGAAATCACGCTTTGTGTTGTTATGAAAAGAAAGTTCTTTTGGATTGAAACTAAATTTATGTTCCACAGTATGTCCAGATCATGATTTTGATCTATTCTATGATAAGGAGTCTTGATCCTAACTTACTTAAAATATGTTGTGCTGATGTTGAAGTGCCTATGAAATATTTGGTTGTATCATGCTTACTAATTTCACATTTAAAGCACTGGTCATGGAATTTTTATTCAGCTTAAAATATATGTATTCTCTATTGTGTTAGGATAACATTCTGCGTTGTGCTCATTTTATGACTACTGAATTGGTTATTTTGTTGATGTTAAGTTGAATGAAGCAAGTGAGATACATTTTGCTGCAACAAAGAGAGTGCTTAGGTACTTGAAAGGAACTACTCAGTTTGGAATATGGTACAAGCCAAGAAAAAATGGAAGTCTAATTGGCTATGTTGATAGTGATTGGGCAGGAAACATTGATGACATGAAGAGCACTACGGGTTACGTTTTTTCCTTAGGTTCCGGTATGTTCTCATGGAACTCAAAGAAGCAAGAAATTGTTGCTCAATCCACTGCTGAAGCGGAGTATGTAGCTGGAGCAGCAGCAGCTAACCAAGCTATTTGGTTGAGGAAAATTCTTCTTGATTTAGGAGCAGAGCAGCTGGAAGCCACTGAAATTTATTGTGACAGCAAGTCAGCAATTGCAATTGCAGAAAATCCAGTCCAACATGGAAAGACTAAGCATATCCAAGTAAAGTTTCATGTCATACGTGAAGCTGTCAAAAATCATGAGATCAAGTTGATTCATTGTTGTTCTGATCTTCAAGTTGCTGATATATTAACTAAAGCTCTTCCAAAAGAAAGATTTGAAAGACTTAGAGAATTGATTGGAGTGTCCATCAAAAATTTCAAGGAGGAGTGTTGAAGCAGCTGAAATTTCTGATGACAACAGTATTTTGTAATGTGAACTTTTATCTAAAATTTATGTTGTAGTTGGTGTGTTTGTCAGTCTACTGCAAGACTCAACCTTTTGGAGTGTGTTCAGCTATGTAATGATGTTGGACAGGTTACCCATACCTGTTAGGTAGTTCAAAATGTGTTGCTATGTATTTATTTATGCTCTATATATGTATCAGAAACTCATCAGCAAATAGATTAATGAAAAACCCCTTCACGTTTCTGATTCATAAAAACACCTCTTGTGCAACAGTTACTATACGCTATTGTTCGGGCCACAGTAAACTGAAAGTCAGTCCCACATTTATCCAGTTTTCTGGCCATTGTTTCTAAGGTTCAAGAACTTCATTGTCATGACTCATGAGACTATGTAAATTCAATGAAGTGCTAGAGAAGTGTTACTTTCTCAACATGTTAAGCAGCTAATATTAGATATGTTAATGTGTTTCCCATGCCTACAAATTTGTTCTTAGTATTGATTTTCTATATACTATCAACTCATTGTTTGAGAAATACAAGTTCTGTTTTCTATATGAGATGGTTTGGGACTAGTTAGAGACTTAAGAGTAGAAAATATTCTGCTAAAATGTATCCTCTGGATTATGAAACTTTGTTACCTTATATGTTCAACACGGTGCTATATTTCTATCTTGCAGCTAAAGTCTACCCAAACATTTATACTTATTTTAATATGAACTACTGTCTGAAAATCAGAATAAAAACCTGAAGTTTGTTGAGAATGCTATAGATTCAGTATTTGAAGGAAAAGGTTTCAGTTTGTAGTAGGAAGGTCACGAACTTGGAGGATATTTTTTTTTATTGCAACTTATGGTTTGGACCGTGCAATATGTCAGTTAACTACTTTACCAATTTAGATGATTAGATGCTTTTTTTTTCTACTTTCAATTGAGCATATACACCAGTATATGTCAGTTAACTACTTTACCAATTTAGATGATTAGATGCTTTTTTTTTCTACTTTCAATTGAGCATATACACCAGTATATGTCAGTTAACTACTTTACCAATTTAGATGATTAGATGCTTTTTTTTTCTACTTTCAATTGAGCATATACACCAGTATATTTACCTCGGTAGTGTAGAAGAGAGGTAAAGAGTTAGCTTTGGTAATTAATTAATATGTCGCAGAAAATTATTTTATTAGTATTATTATTAATTAAAATATCATATTAAATCAATTAATACTATAAAATTGTTTTAAGTTGTGACTATCAATTATGTTATCAATGACCATAAGATATTAAAATAATATTTTTAAAATTACATAAATTAAAATGATAAATTTTTAGTTTAAAAGACTAAATAATTTTTATATTTTGGTGAATAAAAATGTGTTTTAAATTTGAGAGATTAAAAGAATATTTATAAAAACTAAAATAATATTTTTAAAATTACATAAATTAAAATGATAAATTTTTAGTTTAAAAGACTAAATAATTTTTATATTTTGGTGAATAAAAATGTGTTTTAAATTTGAGAGATTAAAAGAATATTTATAAAAACTAAAATAATATTTTTAAAATTACATAAATTAAAATGATAAATTTTTAGTTTAAAAGACTAAATAATTTTTATATTTTGGTGAATAAAAATGTGTTTTAAATTTGAGAGATTAAAAGAATATTTATAAAAACTAAAATAATATTTTTAAAATTACATAAATTAAAATGATAAATTTTTAGTTTAAAAGACTAAATAATTTTTATATTTTGGTGAATAAAAATGTGTTTTAAATTTGAGAGATTAAAAGAATATTTATAAAAACTAAAATAATATTTTTAAAATTACATAAATTAAAATGATAAATTTTTAGTTTAAAAGACTAAATAATTTTTATATTTTGGTGAATAAAAATGTGTTTTAAATTTGAGAGATTAAAAGAATATTTATAAAAACTAAAATAATATTTTTTTGAAACAACATAGACTAAAAATATAAATTATAAATTTGAAAATTAAAAAAATAATTATTCTAAATTTAGAGGACTAAAAATATAATTAATCCATAACTTATTTTGCCTAGCTCATTTTCCAATGTTTTAAACGTTTTATTACCTGATTAGTGCGGCTATGCATGCTGATGCTCTACTGTGTTGCTGTCCTCGTAACAAACTTTCTTGCGTTTATTCATTTGGGCAGCAATAACTTATTTTCAAGCCTTTTACGTATTTAACTTATATCGTCATCCTATCATGTTCTTAATATAGAGTTTCTTATATTGTCCTTAAATCTCATCAATTATGTGATCTGCCATATAGTGGAAATGGATAATTTTACATGTATGATTAAAAGGGGAGAAAGAGGCTTTTTCCATGAGCATGAGATTAAGGAACTAATGCATGATTGCATCCCATTGAAACTCCAATTACTTCGATGCATTGATTGGTTGAGAAGATTTAAGAACTTAAGAACTCCAATTACATTGTTGCTTGAAATTTACGTATATGATTGAAATATTGTTGCCTTTAAAAAAAAATGAGTAAACAATGCATTAATTTTGTAATGAGAATTAATTTTTAAATTTTAGGAAGAAGAGGAGACCGGAGGAGAGTAAAAGATTTTCAGTATATTGTTTAGAATATTTTTATTTATTTTTAAAATTCAAAATTACAAGTATATAAAAGTAAATCAATTAGTTTTTAAATTTTATCTTCTCCCTTTGTGAATTGACTTTGGCATTTGGTATAGCAAAAGTGATGGAAAGGTTGAAGATTTTGTTGATAGTGATTGGGTTGGATCTATTGATGACTTTAAGAGCACAATATGGTATGTTTTTTTCACTTGGTAGTAGATTATTTTCATGGAACTATAAGAAGTAAGATGTGGTTGTTGAATCCTTACTGAGGCTAAAT